TTGGCTGAGCTAGAAAGCAGGCCAGGCTACAGAAGGAGGTCTGTAACTCTATAAAGAGCAGAACTAGTGGGAGAAAAGAAATTGTAGGGCTACAGAAGGCCTGGTTTCTGCTCTAGCTACTTTGTTTTGCCCCTCATAGCCATGACTGCTTTTATTTCTCAGCTTTGTCCTTCTAACTCTTATCAGTGTTCCACTCGCAATGATTGTAAAAAGCACTGGATTTAGTTGAATGGCTTTGCAGCAGCCTGTGTTGGATGTTTTGAGGCACAATTTAATCCTTTGTTTCTGTAAGGTACTAACTAGCTGTTTTCAAATCCTCTGGTGCCACTGGAAAGTGATTTCTTGGAAACTTTTCTGCTGAAAGACAGAGCTCTGAGATATAATTAACACCAGGCTAAGTGCTACTTAAGCACCTGGTGTTGTTTATATTCTGAGTTATACAGACTTTACTGTTAATTTTGTCATGAGTAAGCACATGTCACTGTCATGTAAGACTTTAGATGACTTTATCCTTGTTATCTTAGAATTTCACTGTTCTGCCTGACTTAGTTAAGGTCTGAATTGAGGAAGTTTTCATTTCAGCTATAGCTATTACTATTATTGCAGTTTTTAAAATATACAGAGGTTGCTGAATGCTAATGAATGTGAGTTTGAAGTTAAATATAAGCACTGAGGAATGTGGGGATGTGTCTGTCATTTGACATCTGCACCAGACTGGATTAAGCTTTCTAGAGTTTTCCTCCTCCTTAGAGATGTTCTTAGGTGTGGTGTCAGAAATATTTGCTAAAAAATTCTGCAGTCTGTCTTATGCTGAACAGCAGCACGAAGGAACAAAGTGGAAAAGGGGCATTGAGGATTAGGATACTGCGGTTATTAAATAATTTAGAAGAATTTTATATGCCTTCTGATGGTTCACACTGAGGCTTTTCTAAGGTCAGTATTTGCTCAGTCTACTTGTAGAGAAAGAGAGCAAAAGGGAAAGAAATTAAGAGCAAACCAGAAATGTATTTCAACATATTTAACTTGTTACTTGATGTCCCTACTGAAAAGGAAATAGGGGAAACCTTGGAAACCCAAGTATTTTTGGCTTAGGAGCACCCTGGTGAATTATTTTTCCCTTCTCCAGTCAGGACTGTGGCCTGAACTGTAGATCAAAGAAGAGCAGCGCTTTGCTTAATCTGGCATTAAAATCTACTTTACCCCAAAGAGACAAGTAGAAAAAGAAATTGAGGCCCAGGCTCCTTGGCAACTGTGAGCTAGGTTGTTCAAATGGTTGGTAACTGTAACAGTTAAAAAGAAAAAAAATAGGAAAGATATATTGCTACCATATTGGAAAGGACATTGCATCCCAAGCCAGGGTTGTTTGCTGCTGTTCGAAAGAATGTTCATAGCAGTGCATGGATAGGCTTCTCCCATTTTCCTTATGGTATTGCAAAGAATAAATGGTGGCCAGCTGATACATCTTCAGGTCTGCTTCAGAAAATGTGTGCTGAAGATGCAAGCAGTGATTTTCTTCTTTGAATCTGTTCTGCATCACATGCTGACTTTACAGCTCTTGAGCCAGGGAAATGTGACATGGCAGGTGCCCATTTGTCGTGCATGTGACCACATAGCAGACAGTGCCTGCTGGTGACACTGGTGACACTGAGCTCTGCTGCTGTGTTTGGTGCAGAGGCTGCACTCTGACCCTGCATGGTGCTGTCAGGTCCTGTGCTGTCACATGCAAACCTCCCAGCTGCTTTGATGGGGGACTTGAAAGGCAGTCCAGGATTCCTGAGTCACTGTTCCTGGTGAATCTCCTCAGTCCACACCTTGCTTATCAGACCAATCTGATATCAGACCAGCTGCTGAGCGAGCAGATCAGTGTTTTGGTTCAGGCCAGTCCAGGTGGGGGGCTCAGGGTGACTCAAATGTGGCTTCCTTGAGGTCTAGAATTTTTGTCATTCTCTCCTCAGAGCCTGTTACAGAAGGAGGCCTGCTGCCATTCCCAGTTCCTGGATCTATGGCCATGTGGTGATCCAAGCCCTGTGCACAGAATCTGTTCCACAGCTTGGATAATTTATGATGTTTCCTTTTCTCTCTGGAGAAAGAGGATTTAGCACACAGCCCCCCAGTTGGGCTTTACTGACAGAAGTGTTATTTAACCTGCTTTGTCTTTGTTCTGGACTGTGTCTTTCTCTTGATAGGAAAAATTACCTTGAGTCACCATTAATCTTTTAGTGAATGTGGAAGTAAAGAAGGCATTGATGACTTTTTTATTTTTTTTCCTTTCTGCTTTTTATGTATGGTGCATGTAATTTGTTTTGCAGTTCTGTCCCTGATATTTTCTCTTTCTCATATGCTCTTCCTTTATATTAACCCTTACCTGCGTGTTGCTATTTCCATGTTAGTGTTCAATTTTTTGGAGTTAGTTCAGATCAGAGGCATTCCATTTCCCTTCTGTCAGTTTGCCACTGTACTCTCGGTGTAGTCTGCCCAGAAAATTCCCACCTTACTCTACCTTGCTTCCCATGGGAAGTCTTTACAAGAAGCCAACCTCCCCAGCTTGCTGGCATCTCCTCTTTTGCAGTCCAGTGTCCATTATTACCTTTCCTCTGACAGAAAAACATTTGAGGTCATGATTCTTTTTCATCCAAGTTACCTTCTGGTTGCAGTGTTCAGCCAGTCCATTCCTGCTGGGTATGAAGGTGTTCAAAGCAGCTGATGACACAGTTCAGCTCCTCCACCTTGTGAAATAAATGTGTTCCTGACACACTGGCAGAGTGGGGTGAGCAGTCTTTGACTGGCAGTGTTGCCTTTCCAGAGATTTCCTGGCTCATTTTCCATGAGCTCTGGGCAGCTCCTATTATTGCTGTGTGGAGATTTCTCTCAACCACACTGGATGCCTTTTCCTCCCTCTGACATAACATAACATTTCAAATTCCCAGATAAATCAAAACTTTTGCTGGTGGGAATTGCATTTACAAAAGACAAAAGTATATTTGAGCTGCCAACTGCTGTTTGTATTCGTCCATGTTTGTGATCCCTGTCGTTTGTTGTTAGAGAACAAACTTGACGCGTGTAGATTTTGATTCGCGTAAAACCACAGAGAATGTGGTGTTTGATCTGAACATCTTAGAGAACAAGGAGGATTTGGTATGTGAACAAAACACTTCGCTATTCTCTTGGGTAAAGGGGTTTGCACATCCACTCAGAGTGCAGAAACAACAGCATATAACTTAGGTGCCCAATTACACCCTGTGTGTCACCAAGGAGCTGAAGGAGCAGCTCACAAATACTTCATAGTCTGAAAACAGTCAGATGAAAACTCCAGCAAAAGGTACAATGCATTCAGGGCAATTGTGTGCTTTAATGCTTTGGGAAACAAAAAAAAGTCTAAATTTGCAGTTATCCCTAAGGAATTATCTGTGAGCTCTATCTGCAAATAATAATTTAATCAGCTTATTTGGCTGCCCAAATGGTCACAAAGCTGTAATTGATTAAAAATGATCCTTTTTGTAACAAAATAAGGCTGCCGAATAGAAATGAGATTTTAAGGTGATTCTAATGTGTCCTGCTCTGGCAATGTGATAAGGAGCACTTCTGTAGAAAACTAAAGAATCTCACAGCAAAAGGTTTGGGGACTGTTACAGAGAAGTCTTTTCAAACTTTAGGCCAGTTTAGACTGAATTTGGATTTTTTTTCTTTCTTTTTTTATCTTTTTTTTTTTCCCCTTTCGTTCCTTTTTATTATTTTTTTTTCAGTGTATTCATGTTTCCTTGGGACCTGAATGAGGGAGAGGAACTTCTTTTAAAGGCCACATGGCTCACTTCCAATTCTGATAGATAAAGTCAACCTGCTTGGCCCTACCAACAGGAAATAGGATGCTGCCCCTTTAAGCGGACTGTAAGGAGTATGGAATTACGGCTAACTTGGTTTGGAGCCTTTGTGTAAGGCTTTCAGGAAGAGATAAACCATTAATCATGCACAATTACTCTGACCTTGCATGAACTAAAGCCTCTCTGAACACATAAGATTACGGTCTCTGGGGACCTTGAGACACTGACACGATCAGCTCGTCCGAGGGCATTTGAAATGGCTGCACAAAATGGCTGAAAGCTTGGCCTTGCTTTCCTTCCCTTAAACCCGAGTCTGTCTTCCACCCAGGACAGGGATTTATCCACCTGCTTGCTGTGCAAACTAAGGAGAAGTCGTTTCCCTTGTGCCAAGCTTTGTGTTCATGAGTGGAAATGATGGCAGTGCTGAAGAGAGTGAATTACATTTGAATTTTGAGATGTTTTTTAATAGTTACTGAGTTGGAGCATTTTACACTTATTTCTACCCTCTCCCTATGGATATCTTATTTTTCTCTGGGGTTAGAACAGCTTGTAGTACAAATGTTATGATCAGTGGCAGAGGTTCTTAGGTAGCTCAGCAGTGTAATTCACTTTTGCTGTTGTTACTCCTTTTCTGGTGCTAGCCTCACCTGTTCTAATTAGATTTTAGATTATGATTTTCAGGGTAAGTTACATTCCCTCTGTTAGTTTTGTTTAGGATTTCTTTGACTTCTTAAACTCCTTAAACAACCATGTCCCACACACCTACTATGATATACTTTCCTCTGTCTCTTCTTTTTCCAACCTCTGGCACTAGCAGCAATATGTAAAATAATAATAATAATGATAAATAAGCAATTAAGCATTTACTCATCAAGTAATTATTCATTTTAACTCGTAATTTTTCAAAATTAGGGTGAGCTAAAAATGTACACAAAGAGTTGCAGAAGCACAACTAACTGAAATGCTTGTTAAAATGAAAGTTTTTTTGTTTGATCCTTCATTCTGTGTTTGATCCCTACAGCTTCATTCACTTATCAAGTTTATACTGCTATAAATATTCTACTTACATATATGATCATTTAATGTTATTTACTGCAATGTGACACCTATTTTGAACTAATTTTACATTGCTATAACTATCTTTCCTCTGTCCACTGAAGTAACAAATTTCTGATTTTTTAGAGATGTGGTTTTAAGAAGATGGAGATGGCTCATTCTGCATTAAAGGACTGGACAGGGGATTCCAAACTAAAATATGGCTCCAGTTCTGACCAGCACCTTTGTGTTGCTGTGTAGGAAGATGGGTAAGTCCAAAAGGAATAAATATGGTCTTCACAGAGGGAATGATGCAGAGAATGTGTATTAGGAATCCCTGAAAAGGGGTTTTGAAGGTAGAATCATAGCATTGAAGAATGTCCTGGAAGGCACCCACAAGGATCACTGAAATCCAAAAGATAAGCATAATTAAAATACCACAAGGATAAGGACAGCAAAGGAATTGCTTTACAAGGTAAGATCTCTGGCACTAATGTCAGACTGGTAGTATCAGGACATCAGCTGCTCTCTATTTTATAAGGAAGGTTTCTCCAGATTGTTTGCTGCAAGCCTTCTGCACATTGCCGCTGAGTTTTTTCATGGACTTGGTTCAATAGTTTGGTAACAGCTGATTCTGGTTTGTATCAGAAGGGTATCAAAAGGCTCCCTGTTCTGTTAGGCATTGAGGATGAGAGCCTGGTTTGAGGGAGCTGTCCAGTTCTTGCTGGAGAAGACACACAGTCTGTGCTGCTCTTCTTCATGGATCTTTTATTAAGTTTTTTCCCTTCTTTTACATTTCCCACTAATGTATTGTAAACATGCAGTCAATGGTTAAAGGGGTGCTCTAAGTTCTAAGAAATATACTGCAGAATGTAAACTCACTGGAAACAGAAAAAAGCTGAGACAGCGTGGTGCTCACACTGTCCTGATTGTGGTGCTGTAGGGCCACAAGCGCTCGTGGCATTCTTGGGCAGCTTGGGCCAGTTTTCAGAGAAGTGTGAATCCCAGCCCTGCTCCTCTTTTAGGAAACAGGCTGTGGAAGAAATTGAAATTAGCTGTGAGAGGGAAAAGGCAGGAGCTTGCTATTAGGACGGGATGGGAGTCTGTTCTGCAGGAGCAAACATCAAACAAAGGTAGATTATTGTCTGATGTAGCCCAGCTGAAGTCAGTGTCAGAGTTGCATCACAATCAGGCTTGAAGTGAGCAGTATCGGGCCCACATTGGTTTTCTGCTTTGTTTTTAATCCTATTGCACCTTGTTGTGACCAAAGATGTGGAAAGATCTATTGTAAGAGGTTTTTAAGTGGAGCAGTTCTTTACTTGAAGGAAAAAAGACAACCCACTGCTTTTTGGGTTCAGTCCAGGTGTGCATTCTATATCTACACTGCAGTGCTGTCAGTACAGCTGTGTAGCTCTTCCTGAGGCAGCTGTTAACAAGTTGGCCTTGATACTTCTCTCTGTGCTGCCAGAAACATAATAGATTCCATGTGTGCCTTCTCCAAAAATATTATTGACTCTGCCTCTTAGTATACACCTAGGAGTACTGATGCTCACTACCTTAAAACTACCTCAAAACTACCTCAGCCATGTGTATTCAACCTGTCCATACTTTGGACTGAAAGGCTGGGTGTTTTCTTTAGTTTTAGATTTGATTTTACAAAATCTAAAACCTGATTGAATGGCTTCTGCAAGTAAACGTGTCCTGGTTTTACCATTCTTCATTTGGAATCTGAAAGGCTTTGTTTGTTTGGGTCTGAGATAAAAATGGACAGAAAGACAGTCAGGCAGCAGATATCTGTGTAGATTATTCTCTGCTGCTGGCAGTCCAGGTGACTCAGTTAAAGCAGTGGAAGAGCTGGCTGAGGGCTGTTCCATCCTAGTAGGGGAGAGAGAACTCCAGGGGTTAAAGGCAAGAGCATCCCTTTTATAATTAGGACAGATCAGAAGTGGAGCAAAATGTTCTTGCAGCTGAATCAGCTGCCCTCTAACCAGCCTGGAGTCTGGAGCTGGGGCCTGATGGACACTTGTACAGAATGCAATTTAATCTGTAATGGCTGAGGAGGACTCCTCAAAGTCTGCGGCAAATGGCAATTATTGTCCCTTTTTGTCACATCCCCCCAAACAAAACAAAAAAAAGAGGAAAATTAATGAAAATAACAACAGGGAAGGATCCTAACTAGCATGCCCTGCCTCCCCCTTTCTCTTTAAAAATCCTCTGCAATATAGTGACTGAAATGAGCTGCCCAGTATAATAAAATCTCTGGAGCACCAATGTGAAACGAGAATTCCTCCCCCACACACAGGCACACACACCCCTGCTCCCTAATGAGCAGGGAGACGCCAGCTTGGGGGCTGCAGCCAGTGTTAAATTAGCAGAGAAGGCCATCGAAGTGGGCTGACTCCAGCGTAAACTGCCTTAAGTGTCTGTTTATTAAATCACACCAGCGCTTAGAGTCTGCCCTGCTGCCACATCAGAGCTGTCTGCACACAGACAAACCCAGGCCAGTCCCGGGGGAACCTGGCCCAACTGGATACTGGTGGTAGTAAAGGCAGGGGGAGGAGGGAGCAGCCCTCACCAACAGCCCCTCATTAGGCTCCATCATGGGTTATTCTTCTAGAGCAGAAAATCCTTTATTTAGGGTCACTGTTTGCATTTGTAGCAGTGGGGAAACCATAAAGTTGTGTTTCCCTCTCCTTGTTAGGAAGCAGGAGTCAAGGCAGGCATTTGCTTACTAAACTGCTGTGTCTGAGCATGGAGAGTGGCTTTCCTATGTCAGTCCTTACAGGGAAGTGTTCCTTCACTTTCAACTCAGTCTTTCAGTTACAGTGGGAGTAGGTTGTTAATACCGAACAATTTTCTAAAAGGATTCCCCGGTCTAGCTAAGCCTTTGGGAATAAAAAATTCTGCTGGACAAACCTTAAGTTATCATATCAAAGGAGGGAAAAATCAAAATGCTTCTGTATATTTGCACAGTGGGAGGTACAGTGCGGGCTTGTTTCCAAATGGGATTTCTACACTTGCCTGTTAAACAGTACTGTTACATATTCTGCAGTTAAGGCAAACAGAAGAGAGAGTCAAGCTGGAAACCTTGTTCTGTAAGTCAGGAGACATCACTTCTATTGCTCCTAGTTCTGAAACAAGAGCCCTACTACATTCCCTTCTTTCTCAAGGACTGCTTTTAAACACAGTTGAAGCCAGGGCTTCTGGTTTATGATTCTGCTGCTTACATTCCCAATGGACCTGCCTTGGTCTCTGCTCTGTGATTCCAAGGTAAGTATCCTTTTTTGCATAAATTCCCCAAAATAAATCTTCAGGAGAAGTGGATGACCCTCTCATCCCATATGGAGGCATAGAATGGAGTTTTGGAAAAGTGTCTGAAATAGCTTGTTCTCATGAATTGCATGGGCTTGCTGAACAGCTCTTAAATTTCCCATCCTACCACTTAGGCTTGATCTTTCTCTGCAGTAAGATTTTGAAGCTTCAAACAAGTTTCATCCATGTGTTGTCAGGTGAGGATGTTGAATGTACAGAATGTAGCTCCATTTAACTAATTTGTGGGTACTTCCACACTTGCGTTCCCTACTCAGCCTGCTGGTTTATGTCTTCCATGAGGGATTTTTGCTGCTCATTGGCCTCCAGAGGCTCCATTGCAGCCCAGATACCACTTTCTGTGAAAATGCGTTTGGAGTCATGGTCAAGCATCCTTTTGTGAGGTGGCCTGTTGACACTGGAGAGGAGCAGCAGTTGAGCCAATTTGTATGAGGAAGGAACCATGTAAAGTTTAATATGAAGTCGTTGGTTTAGCTGGCAGAAAGGAGAGGTGGGCTGTTTTCCATTTCCCTTTAAAATGTCAAACACTAATAGTCTCTTCCGATCGTCCTGAGATTGCCAAATAATTGACTCCTGCCTACAGCAAAAACCTCCCTGATCCACAAAGCAGGAAGCTGATGACAGCAATTGCCTGAACGTGTCCAAATTAGTCAACTCCTGGCAACCCCAGCAGGGTCAGCAGTGGCAGCCCAGGGGTCGCGGGGCAGCAGGAGATGGAGGTTGGAGATTGCCCTGCTTCCTGTGCCCTCTCATGCCTCCAGGATATAGAAAGGACATGAAGGATTCCCAGCTGGAGCAGCCAGCACCTGAACTGTGTGTCCAACAGAGATGTGTTTATCCAGAGAATCTGCTGTAAATTAGCCAAAGCAGGGGCTTAGGGGCAGAGTGGGGAAGTGCCTGTCCCTGTGAGTGGTGGCAGAACACGTGTGTGTGGGGTGAGCTGGTGTCACACAGCTCCTGCTGGGTTTTCTCCACAGTTTCCCTGATCTGCCATGTAGGACTGACCTGTGTACAGCTTGATGGGGTCTGTCCCAGGGCTGGATTATTTTTTCTGTAGCTTCATTTGTTCTCCCACATCTGTGCAATTGATTGTAGGAAAATGTATGGACATAGAGTGTTTAGGAATATGCACACAGCCCTGGAGCTCAGAGAGGAGCTAGAGAAGGGTGTCCGTCAGGCCATTCCTGAGCCTCTTCAACACATCCAGTTACATGTGCTGGGTGGTTTGGTTTTATAAAGTGGTAGCAGTAAGGCAACAACCTCTGTCCCCATTCCCCCCTCTCTTGCCTTTGAAAGGACTTCAGTGTGCCTGTGACTTCTTGAAGGCAACTCAAGCATTTAGGGGTTGTGGCCTTTTCATAAGATTATTTTAGGACTCAGAGAGAGGACAGAGGGAGAAAGAGAGAAGCACTGTCTCAGAGCTCCCAAGCAATACCTCTGTTGTTACAGGCAGGATGAGAAAGTTTTAAGAGCAGGCTCTTTGTGTGCTAGGCTGTATTCCTGTCTGTGCTTCCTAAAGCAGAGGAGTTGGGGACAGGAGCCTGCCCTGACAGCTCCCTGAGCGTGCTGCTGCAGGTCAGGACCTCTGCCCGGGGAAGGAGCACTGCCTGTGGGCCTCCCACGTCTGCTCACGGAAAGCCTGGCTGGACTCTCTGTCACACTCTGACAAAGGTCACTTTTACATCCCATCTTCTAAAAGGTCACAGCATGACCCCAGGTGCAGGAGAAGAGGAGGAGGAGGGAGAAGGCAGCTTTCTCTTTTCTTTTTTTTTCTTTTTTTTTTTTTTTTAATTTGTTACCACTGCCTGACAAAATATACCTTGTCTTTGCTCTTGTACTGCCCCCTCTCTCGACCTGCACTGGCACTTTCTCTTCCTAAATGCTACACCATAAGCTCTCTCCCTTGATAGGTTTCAATGGGTGGTTACTGGATTTTCTC